GCTGGGCACCCCTAACTGTGATGCCGATGACTTTAATAGGTTGAAAGAGAAACCCCCGTATAGAGATATTCGATACACATTGTGTGGGGTAGAGTCGACAGCTAGATGGAAGCGTAGTAAGGATACTTGGAGGCATTCCACCATCCACTTTGCTAATTTCAATCTAATTGCTAGGGTGTGGCTGAAAATAGTGTGTAGTGTCTTGCTTCCCGCGAAACATTTAACTGAGGTGACGCGGGATAGAGTGGTGTTGGTCTATATGCTGATGAAGGGAATGCCAATTAATGTTGGGGCTATCCTGAGGCAAAATATGATGAAGTTTAGGAACAATTTGCGTTGGCGGTTTTGTTATGGGGGGTTGATAACCTGTTTCTTGAGGACCCAGGGTATAGAGGAGGAGGCATGTGACTTGACTATTGCTTTTCACCCGGATCTGACGAGTAAAGTGGTTGATGTGACCCACACTAAGGCACTAGACACGTCCCATGGACATGTCTTGTCTGCCCAAGAGAGGCAATCTCGTGATGATACTGTCATGGCGAGAATGTTTGGGATGGCGGAATTGCAGCTGCGAATAGGTGGCCGTCCAGTTACAGATGCAGAGATGGCGACCATAGCGGAACACTACCCATTGACCGAGAGTGCAACATTCTTATGCAGGACTGGTCCTGTATTCTTAGAGCCTTTGGATGATGATGAGGCTACTGCTGATGAGGCTATGAATGATGATGAGGATGCTGTTGTGGCTGAGGAGACGAATGCCTTAATGGTTTTTTATGGCGGTGACGACGAGGCCTAGAGGCCTGAGGGAGTATTCCTAACTCTATACTTTGCTTTAATTGTGCACCGAGGACAATGCTTATTTTTAAAGTGTGGGGTGGGGTAATATGTCTCTGTTGTATATAGTTGTTTACTGCTTTATCGAGTCTAATGTTAGTTTTTAGTAAATTTGTAAATTTTTTTTTGGATTCCTCAGCGTTTGTTTTCGGTACTTTTACTGAGGATTGTCCCTTTGAACCGACTAGGACTAGTTTATTGTTTTATTGAGTCTTAGAGTCGTCATAAGAGTGACAGTTCCCGATGATGGAGGGATGACGACCGTCTTAAGGGAAAATTAGTCACATAGAAGTGTAAGATTGAGAAACCAACCTTGGTCTTTTGAAGCTATGTCCGAATAAGTTAGCCAAACGTCATGGGTAGTCATATTTAAAAAAATGCAATAGATTGTTGACCTTGTGACTAGTGTGTGCTCTTAAGTGTAGACTCAAAATAAGATGAAAATGGGCTTAATTGTGTAGTGATACCGTAATGCAAGTTGAATAAGCATGTTAGTTGATATATCTTTATATGTGTCATGATGCCATGTGTGGTGAGTGTTGATTGGTTCTTGCTTAACTTGATATCTAGAACTTGCCTTGTGTTTGTTGAATTAGTAGCTTGTATGACTTAGGGAATGTGATTGAGGCGTTTCTTTGAAATAGCCAATTCTTAACTCTACTTGTATGCCTACCATTGAAATCATCCCTAGTGAAGCCCCATTGAGCCTTTAGCCTTGTTTATTGATAAACCACATAATAAGCCGAAACCCGTTTGTTGATACCAAGCCTTTTTTATCCTATGAAAATCCTTAGTGCACTATGTTAAAGAATAAGGGTTGAAAATTGTTGGTTGATATAGCTACGGATGAAATGCTACATTGTGTGGAAAATAAAATTTTATTTTGGCCCTGGTCCTTAGTGACAATGTGCACCTCAACTAAAATTAAGGGTGGATAATTTAGAATTATGCTTGAAACATTGGCCCTGATTCTATCAAAGGATAATGTGTACCTTACTCGGATGTTAACATTTAAAGTTTGGATGGCTAGTGCAAAGGCATGAAAAAAAAATATGATGAAAAAGAAATAAAGGGCAAATATGGAGCAACAAAGGGGGTATATATTCATGAAGTGTGTACAAGGAGGAAAGAAAAGTTATGATGGAGATTGTTGGCTAAGTAATAACATGTGCATTAGGGAGGTGTAATCACTAAAATGGTTCCCAAATGTTCCCTCCCTTACCTTAAGCCAACATTACAACCAAATGAAAGTCCTCTTGATTCTTTGAGAAATATTATGCGAAAGTAATAATACACTATTGGCAAGCTTATGGTATGTTGAGAAAAGTAAGAACTTCTTTTGTGAGGGTGAGTTGATTGTTTGAAAAATAGGCCTTGTTGATATTGCAAATTGCTTGAGTAAAAGGCTTTACTAAACAAGAACAAGTGAGGGCATTCATGGCATGTGTAAGATTATCTAATTGATGTGTGGTATGAGTTTGCATTAGCCCGGAAAAATAACAAAAGAGTCATTCGTTGAGCATGTGTGGTACTTGGTATAAATGTGTGAATTGTTGCATCCAATGTGAACTACAAGATCATGATTAAAAATGTTTGGTTAATTTTAAGGTGGGTTAATAAGTCCAAGGGTTGTGAAAAAAGAGTTGATAGTCTAGAGATTGTTTGAGGACAAACAAAATTATAAAGTGTGGCGTGGTGATCTTAGGCATATATATATGCCTAAGTTGTCAATATTTGCCCATGAATCTATTAGATTGAAGAATGATCTCTAGTCATTAGCTTAATTTTTTGTTTAACTTGGGATGATTGTGCACTTAAATACATGATTAGTTGTTTCAGGAACTCTCAAGGGAAGTGGATTCAACTTGAAGAAAAGAGATGAAAAAGAGCATGAAAAACGGCCAAGGATGAAGGCCCCAGGGCTAGGCGCACTGCTAGGTGCGAGGCGCCAAGGGCCAACATTCAGAGGCGCCTCTCAGGCGCGCTGACAGGCGCGACGCGCCAACCTGTGAAGATCTGAAGTGCTTGCCTGGTGCTCTGCTAGGCGCGGCACGTCAAGGTGAGAAGTTCAGAGTGCCTCTTCAGGCGCAATGCTAGGCACGACGCCTCACCCTGATGCCGACTTTTCCAAGTTTTAAACATTAAATATGAGTCCTAATTTGAGTAGGATTTGTTCCCAACTTTTTCTACTATTATAAATAGATCATTAGGGCTCCATAATTAGGGGAACGTTTTTGTTTAGTGTGCAAGGGCAAGAATTCAAGTTTGTAATCCTTTAACTTTTCTATTTTTCCGAATTTTGTATGAACGTTTATCTACTATTGATTTCTAATAGCATAAGTAGCTAACCGCCCTAGTTATGGGGCTGTAGCTATGAATTATGTGTTGAATGTTTGAGGCTTTATGAATTGATTTCCGGTTGTCAATCCAAATTACTTCTATATTCTTGTTTTACTATTTTATGCTTGCGCAACATAAAATAAATCTAGTGTCTAATCTTAAAATCAAACGAGGAGGGATTAGATAGACCAGAGAATATAGAGAGCTCGGTCCACCCATTATATTTAGGTGATTAGTGTTCAGGAGTGACACCTAGACGAACACCTTGCTTGGTTACGAAATAAGATGAAATATAAATGCTCGCCAGTTAGTTTATCTATCCCCGCTCAACGATGTAGTTAGATGGCTAACTGGGGTAGGCAATGAGAGGTGAACCACCCGAACCATACTATCAACCCTATAAACATGTAATTTGACAAATGAAGTGAATTCTAAGCCAATAATATGATGCATGATATTCAATGTATGTTGCAGCCTTGGAATTATTTTTAAACTTGCTTGAAACATATTAACAAAGTCGTTCACTATCAGTTACTTTGATTTAGTGCATATTTATTAGTAGATACTTAACTAAATCATCAAATCTTGAAAAGGTTATTTGGTTACTTTTAGTTGTAGAGTTTAGTGAATATAAGTTGATCATAAGTCCCTTGGGAACGATAACTCGTTTCTTAAATAATTTGTACTACTTATGCGACCACGTACGCTTGCGTGTATACTGGGGAGTAACACATCTCTCACTTTCTACAAACACAAATGTATAAATTGTGTTTGTGTTTGTATAAAGTGAGAGAAAACTGTATATACAACTACAAATACATCTGTTTTCGTCCTATACACTTATAATTATATAAATATAGATCTTCACCTACCAGTTCTCTTTTGCCTTTCTCTCTATCTTGCTTTATACAAACACTACTTATACAAATTACACATTGTAATTTGTGTTGTATAAAGAGAGAGAGAGAGAGAGATTTGATATACAAATGTTTTATTTCGTTTCAACTGTATACAAATTCAAATTTTATGCAAATATACAAACACAATTATTGATACATATATGCAAACTGATTTAGACAAATCTGATGCTCCATAGCAAACATAAAATTTGCTATGGAGCACAATTATGCAAACTATAGCTATAGCATACCAATATGATTTTTATGTTTGCTAAACCTAAAATCTACTCTTTATAAAATTAACGTTTTGTGAGTGATCAATTTATTAAGTTGACAATTGTTTACCCTCAAATAGTTCAAGTGAGAAAATAATAAACATGAAAAAAATGTTCTTCTCCTAGCTAGTTAGAAAGCTAAAAAAAATAATATTGTCCGAGAATTACATGAAATAGAAAATCTCATTATAATTCAAGAGTATAATTGGAAGAAAGTTTTTAGGAGAATCTTAAACCAAACAGAAGATTAAGTGGGAGGCAATGAATCAAACAACTGATAAGAAATAACCTTTGCATTACTAATTCTTTCCTAACTAATCAAACTGCTATTTCTCTGACCCACATAAAATCTGCTATTTGTCTTACCCACATAAAATCCGATCTCAGATAGACTATTTATTCACATACGGAGGCAAAGTTATATCATGACGTTCAATGAAGCAAATAATAGTTGCTACTTCTTCATATCATGCAGAGATAATAGTCATTCACAGAGGCGTATCCAGGATCTCAAGAACATGGGGGAACCATTATCTTCAAAATAGACAATTAATTCAATTATATAAATTTTACGGTGAGAACAAGTTGACGAGCAAGTAGGTAGTAGCAATCTTTATATAGTAATATATTAGCAAAAAACATCATTCACTTACAATTGTCCTCGACGAGTTTTCATATTTTGAAAATGGTCAATAATAGCATCATTACTTACATTTTTAAATATACTACGCTCTATATAGCAAACTAAACAACCATTCAAAAGATCTTTATCCATCCTATTACGCAAATCATTCTTTATGTACTTCATTGATGAGAATGCTTTTTCCACGCTTGCGGTAGCAACAGGAATAATCAAAGTTAACTTCACAAGTAGATACACAAGTGACCAAGTTTGATGTAGTTTTGTCTCTATCATCACTTTTGCAAGATCCTTGATTCCCTTCAAGTTGAGAAACTTGCTATCACACTTTTGAGCATAGACAATAAAATCATCAAGTTGAAAATTGAGTTTCCGAAGCTCTTTATCACCAAACTCACTTGGGTAGTACTCGGCTAGTTTCATTATCCTATCCTTGTAAAAATTAGCAAATGAATCAACCGGACTCAAACTAGCCATACCGAGGAGCAAGTCACTAGTCACCACATCAAAACGATTATTGAGTTCTTGAAGTGCCAAATCAATGACGGCATAAAATACTTCCACACGAAAGTGATGCAAATATGAAATATTGGACCTCTTACGCTTCGACTTCCCATTAGAGTAGTTTTCATTCATTTTGGGAATTGAAATTCCATGTTTACCATAAAATAAGCTAACCTCATCCATCATAGAGTCCCATTCATCCTCTCTCATCATTTGCAATTGTTTCTTTGAAAGGTCAAGCAATCCCATAGCATTAACGATATCTTGATCTTTCTTTTGTAAAACTTTATTCAACTCATTCGTCAATAGCAACACCTTAAACATCAAGTGCAACATAAAGACAAATTCAAATTCATGAATCTTGCTCAAAAGATTTTTCGCTGCAAATCTATCAAGATGATATGGACAATCATGTTTCATATCCTTAAGCACATTAACAATTGAAGAAAAAAGAATCAGGAAATTGTCCAAGGTTTTAAAATGAGACCCCCAACGAGTATCACCCGGTCGTTGGAGGCCATGTTCTTGATTCAAACCTTGCCCTGTATGAACTTCTCCAAATTTAAGCAACTCTTCCAACTTATCTTCTTGATGTTGTCGAAGTGAATCTCTGCGTTTAAATGAAGCTCCAATAGTATTCAAAATATTAGTGAGAACATAAAAAAAATTATCCACATCCGAATTCTTTTTGGAAAGACCTACAAGTGCCAATTGCAATTGGTGAGCAAAACAGTGAATATAATATGCATATGACATATCTTGTAAAATCAAAGACTTGAGACCATTTATTTCCCCTTGCATATTACTAGCCTCATCATAACCTTGACCACGTATTTTGGATGTACATAATGAGTGATCCAAAAGCAAAGAATAAATTGTTTTTTTAATGATTGAGAAGATGTATCATTTACGTGGACAATACCCAAGAATCGCTCTATCACCATTCCCTTTTGTTGACATATCTCAAAATTAGAGCCATTTGCTCCTTATGAGAAACATCCTTTGATTCATCAGCTAATATTCCAAAATAATCACCGTCCAAGTCTTCAATGATAGTGTTGACACCCAATTTTGACCCTCCACAATATAAATTAATCATTTCGAGCTTCTCCAATTTCAAACGATTTAAAATTATTAGTTTTATAAAATTTCTAAAAATAAAATAAAATATTAATAATAGTAAAAAATAAATAAATAGTAATAATAATATAGTTTGCAAGATTTTTAAATAGTTTTGTCACTTTTCATAATTTTTAGATAATATATATGTTTTACATAATTATGTATATAATTAGTATATTTTATGATTATTTGAAAATCGTCTCAAAAAAGATTTTATATTTTAAATGTTAGGGATGGTTATAATTTTGAATTAACGAGTTTTATGAAATTCAAGATGCTTTCAAGTCAGTTTTTAAAGTAATTTTACCTTTTCTTAATAATAAACATGTATATTTTTGCAATCACGTTATTTTATAAATATTTGAAAATATCATCACAAAAGATTTTACATTTTAGTTAAATACTTTATTAATTTACTTTAAGTTATAGTTATAATTTCGAGTTAATTAGCTTTGTAATTGAATTAGTTAGTATATAATTAAGTTTATTATTATTTTTTTTATTTTATTTCGTTAAGATTAAGAAGCTCATTAATTAATTTATATTAACTCCTCTTGTTTAAATTTTAGCCGAATTCACAATTAAATTCTATTAGGCTATAATGGAAATCCATTATTTAATAACAATTTATCCCATCTTTAAAAATAATTTTGGGCCACTTCCTAAAGGCCCAACTCTTTCCCTTTCTCAAAATTTCCAATCCCATTTTTTCAGCCCAATTCCCAGTGATCCAAACATCAACCAGCAGCCCTTAGATGCAAGACACAGCCCACCATCCCAGCCCATTAACTTCCTGACCCGACCCAACCCCTTTTCCCTTTTAATTTCAATACATACATCAGTACTAATACAACAAACAGTAGCCGACATAGACCTAACCCCTGCGTCTTCTTCCTTCCAAAACGACTAGCAAGCAACGTCCAAATCCCAGCAAATCCGGAAAGCAGCAGGCGTCAGCAATTACCATCACCATGGCCATTTTTTTTTCCTTTTTCAGAACTCCCCATCCCTCCCACTGTTGCCTCGAAAAAATGCATACAAGTTTGGATTTCAAATTCGAAATTTCACCCGATTTCCCCTGATTTTCCAGCTATATATTGCTCTCTTTTGATCACTGGTGAGAGAAGAGGGAAGCACAATAATTTCTCATTAGATATTCAAGAATAGGTTTATATTTTCCCTCTCGTTGCCCCTAACTGGAATTTTTCGAAACTCATCGGAGATTTATTTGTGGTGGTGTATTGCTTCACGATCAAGCTCGTTGTCCTAGTCTCGTTGCCCCGACGAAGGTAATATCCCTTTCCCTTTGCTAAGTTCTTTTTCATCTCGTGTTATTGTTGTGTCGAAATTTCCAATTTTTGTGTTCATGTTGCTGCTGTTTATTTTCGGATTTCCTTAACAAAGATATAAAGTTATGGTTTTAACATTTGAATATGACTAAGTGTTACTCTTCTTGCTAATGAAATAGTTATTGGTATTATTTACTGTTTGTTGATGTAGTATCTCGTTTTATCCATTTTTTTTTATTTCGTGTTTCGTCTTATTGTTTACCATGTCATGTTTGAGTCGTGCTTTGGTTTAGATGTTAGTCGCTAATTCATTAGGTTTGATATAGCTTAATCATGCTCTAAGGTTTGTTAAACCTCTGTTATTCTTCCCAAAACTTGTTATACTGTGCATTGTTGTTCAAAATCGGCAAAATTGATGGTTAGAATTGGTCACTGTCCGATTTTTATATTACGGTAATATGGAACTAAGTTGTGCATTAATAAAGTCACCAAATGCTAGTGCTTAAATTCCTCATCCTCATGTGTTTGTTTCCTCGATGAGATCCTCGTGCAAACATCTAACTATGCTTATGTGTATGTCTAAATTCTATAGTTAGTTGGTTGGAAATATGATTTAACTAAGTTCAAATTAACTGATTTGTGATTAATTCCCTCCTTTGGTTTGTATAAGTTTAATTTTAACATGGGTGATTGGAACTCTTCCTTATTTATGCTTGAATTGTCTTAGATGGTGTGTTAAGCACTTCAAAACACGTCTGGTTACTGCCTTCACTTACTAATATTGTATGTATATTTAAGTTTATTGTTTTCACATACATTAATTAGGTACAGAAGCTTAAAGTTGAATGTGCTTTTCTCTTTGCTAATTTGTCTTCTTTTTTGTGTTTTGTTGCGAATGTCATCCCGAGTCCATTGGACTCTCATCCCACTGCATTTCTGATTGTGGGGCCATGGTGGCCTAATTATCTCCTTAAGTCTGTTTCTAAATGGATCAAGATTGAGAGCTGAAACAGGCCCCGGAAGTCCAAAAGCAGGCTGTATACACGTTGTATACATTCAATATACGCTATATGCAGCTGTATATACTTATATACAGGTCAAAAACGCAATAAAAAACAGGGCTGGAGTGAAATACAAGTGTTTGGAAGCAAGAAATACCTGAAAAGAGCTAATATATGCGCTCATATACACTGATATACAGTCGGTATATACAAAAACGGGATTGGGTTAAAACCCAAAAACTTGTAGCAAAATTGGCCCAAAAGGGGCCCAATTTCATTCTCTTTTACTCTCCTAATTATTTTGACTAACTTCATTTATCTCTAACCTTAATTTATTTTAATTAACTTAATTAGATTCCCCAAAAGAGGAGTTATTTTCTTTGTGTTGATCCATTTTCAATAAATTTCTTTCTTTTGTGGCGATTTATTAATTAAGCAAGTAGTCGGTCAAATTTTATCACTTTAAGTAAGTTGAATCTTTTGTTCAAAAAAGGAAAAATGTTCTTCGGTGCTTCTCACTTAAAACATATTTTATGCATTTTTAAAAATTATTTAAGATAGACAATTTTCTTGAATAAACTTAAAAATAATTAAAGTGTTTTCCTTTCCTTAGTCATTTTGTCGAAATAATAATAATAATAATAATTTAACTCAATTTACTCTCCAACCGATTTAAATGGTTTAAGTGCAAATTATTATTTTCTAAAATGATTCAATTAAATCTTAATTACTCTAATTTTGTTAAAATCTTAATTGACCAAGTTGTCACAATTAAGTTCCAATTTTCTTAAAAATTAAAAAATGCGTCATTTATTTAATTATTTTCTCAAAGTTAATCAAATATTGTAAATTTCTTATTTTTATGTTAAATCATTATTTTCCTAAAAATAGTCAAATATATTTTAGTCAAGTCGCAGGTCAACCGCATGTTAGCGGGCACTTCGAATGCTTAAACCCTTCTCGAAGTGTAAATTGAACCACGAACCCTCTTTGGTATTTTCAAATGATTTTTTCTGTTTAAATCTTTGAAAATTATAAGTTTTTTCTTAATTTCTTTAAAAAATTAAGTGGCGACTCTTTTTCTAAGTATTTTTCTCAAATTGTTTTATACTTAGAATATTTCAAAAAAAGTGATTTTTCTAGAGATAGTAAAATTACGACACAACAGATAGCCTTAGTTGTTTCTTTAGTACAAGCCTCCACAATATCTTTTTGAATTGTCGGACAAATCATCATATCATTTTGTGGAGCATTACCTAATATTACTCTTCCCACATCAAAACTTCTATCCCCATACCATTTCAAAAGTTCAAGAAAAGCACCCTTATATTCGGAACCTTCACTTTCATCATGTCCACGAAATGGAAATTCCGATGTCAAGAGAAATCTTGCTACATCAATTGAGGCATTTAAACGTATCCGATAATCACTTCTCGCCTTTTCACTTTGCTTGTCAAAAGAGGATTGGATCGATTGTCGTTGGTTTTTCAAATCTTGCATCCTATTGAAACATTTATGATGGATACTATTTACCTTACCAACATGTTTTTTGAATCTTTCTAAAGCTTTGTTCCAACACCTAAAACCATCTCTTGTAAATGAATCTCCAGCATTTCCACGACTTTCAAGTTTATTCTTGAACAAATAACAACACAAACAAAATGCCGCGTCTGCTTTAATGCTATATTCCAACCATTGAGATCTTCTCTTAAACCAAGTTGGTCGAAATTGACACATTTTTTCTCCAAACTTAATTTTGGGGAAGATATGATCAACAGGCTGACATGACTTTTTTTGAATGTAATACCTCCTTACCGCATCTCGAATATTAGGACCATAAGATGAAATAGGCATTCGATCTTTGGGATCTGCTTCAAGAGATTTAAAATCAAGCATATTATCCATATTTGAAAGTGGAAAAGAATTTGTATGTCTTTGAACTTCCGGAGCAACTTGTGAACTCACAAATGGTTGATTAGAGCTAGAACTTGGTTGGCCATCTTTTGGCTTTGGTAACTTGATGAGAAACTTATCCATTTGTGATTTGATGAATTGATTGTAAGAATTATTTTACCTACAAAATTAAATATTCACACTTCTATTCAATCTTATAAAAACAAAATAATTTTTAAAAAATATTAGCACAAATAACAAGTTTACTAATAAAAGAATCACAATTATTAGATAACTATTTAGAAATCAAGAAATTCTTATAAATTTAAATATTCAAGCAATCAAATAATGGAACCACTTCATAAATCAAGAAAAACATATAAAACAAATGAAGTACATTAATAAATATTTTTTTTTTAGATAACATACCTTGTTACTTGTTCTCAAATCTCACTTCTACTTCACCATGAATAACAAAGTGGAAATGTGGAATGAAGCCAAAAGAATAACAATATGATGTCTTTACTCCTTTTTACCCTTTAGTTTAGGGCTTTGAAAAGTCAAAAGAAAAAGTTTTAAAAAATAAATAAGAAAAATGTCTAAATAAAGAAGGAAAGGAGAAAAAGAAAGTAAAAAATATAATTTGACTTTATTGGCACTTCTAGCTTAAGGTCTAAACATAGCTAATGCAACCTAAAAATATAGGTAATTGAACCTCTTTTTATTTATAAATTATTAAAAAGATCTATGAAAAGTGGCACATTTTGTTATATTAATTAAAAATTAAAAATGTTAATGTGGATAGAAAAATTTGAACCACAAATCTATAAGTTATGCACCCCCTATTTGTACTTACTTATCAATATACTAGAGTATTCTTTTTAACCTTGGGTTCACCAATACAAATTTAAAAAGATAATTAGAAAAATAATAGTATTATATAGGGGTTAGGAAGGGGAGGATGGGTGCATGTGAACCCCCTCCCCTTCATGTACATACGCCTCTGGTCATTCATGAAGCCAGTCGAGAGTGTATATGGTTGAGATCAATGACTCAACATATTTTGCAATTATGCGGTCTTTTTGTGCAAACAAAGACTCCAACAATATTGTATGAAGATAATGTTTCTTGCATAGCTCAATTAAAGGGAGGATATATCAAAGGAGACCGAACAAAGCATTTTTTTTCACACATGATCTTCAACAAAATGGTGAGATAAATGTTCAACAGATTCGTTCGAGTGATATTTAATCTTCCAGATTTATTCACTAAGGCATTGCCAACATCAACATTTGAGAAGCTAAGATATAAGATTGGAATGCGTTGTCTCCGAGATATCAAGTAAAGTTTTCATCAGGGGGAGTAAAATACACGATGTACTCTTTTTCCCTTAACCAAGGTTTTGTCCCATTGGGTTTTCCTAGTAAGGTTTTTAATGAGGCAGCACTCAAGGCGTATTACAAGATGTGTGTACTCTTTTTCCTTCACTAGGCTTTTTCCCGCTGGGATTTTCCTAATAAGGTTTTAACGAGGCACATTATCTATAAACATCCAAGAGGGAGCGTTACAAATTCATTTAATTGTGGATATTTATTTTCATCAATAACCTAACGTAATGTATTAATTTAATGTAAGCCTTAAAGATGTACTAACGTATTTGGTTTAAGATTGTAAACGGGTGAATTCTACATCCTATAAAAAGGTATTCTTTACCCTTAAGAATGACACACTTGAAGAGATTAAATAAGAGTCTCAACTTTATACTTTCCATCACAATTTGTCTCCCTATATTGTTTAAGTATTTTTGTATTTTCCTCTTGTTTTACAACAAATATGACAATTTAGCCTTACTAATAAAAAAATCGGTACAACCATAAAATAGAGGTGGAGTCACAAACCAATCCAACATGCCAAAATCTCTCTACCATCTTCTCCTCTTTCATCAGGAACGGATATACGTTGAGCTTTTTGAATGTTTGAGCATCCATGAATTTCGTTCGAATAGACTATATTTATATAGAAATTTCAAGTAATGGCATTAAATTAAAAAATGAGCATCCGTATAAGAAAATGTGAATTGGCACCGGTCGTCATACATGGGTGCTAAAGGTTGGCAACAAAACATTCCAAGCTGCTCTTTTGGTGATTTTTTCTAGATAAGCTTTTATTAAAATCGAAAACGTTTTTTTTATCCAAAATAATTTTATTATAGTTCTTCATATTAATTTTTTCGATATTGTGTTTAGATATGCTTGTTCTTTTTTTATGAGTCATAACTTTGTTTATTCTATTTTGTGACTGGTACTTAAGAGAAACATCGACTTTAATTCTGAATCTGACATTGGACACATTTGTTGATTTCTCTCCACTGGAGGCCTTTTTTCACCACCGCCAACAATCCCAAAATCTATTATAAACAAAATTCCCTTCTCATACTCATTTAATTATATAGCTAGGATTGTTCAAAATCGAATCGAAATTGATAATTTGAATCGAAAAAAAGTTATTAGTTATCGATAATAGGTTATTAGTTTAACGATTTTGATAACAATTTTGATTTTCTTTATTATCGGGCTATCAATTCATAACAGTTTAAAGTTTTTTCTTAACAGGTTAATCGATAATCCAATAGTAAATTGATAAACTATATTTATATCATTTGGTATATAAAGTCTTTGACTTAGAATTTAGTTTCCTATTTTTATTTCTAACAGTCTCAAACTTTCGATTATAAGATACAATGTATCAATTCATGTGCAAGGTTGATTTGATTTGTCACCTTGTTTCTAAGTGATTTTCAATAATTTATTTTTGTGTCGAATCTTAACAATTAAATCAATAACCAAACCGATAACGATCAATAACAGATAAATTGATAATCGATAAGTTAAGTGTTCTATGACGATTTAGCATGTCCACAAGTCAATAACTAATAAACTTTAAAATTGGACCTAACTGACCGAAACAGCCCTAATTACTATCGGTGATCCCCATGATGATTTTATCAAATATTGTTAAAAATATCTTCTTGAAATTTCCTAATCTCAACATTGTCTAATGTAATAATTTGTCGGTAATTGCCGATATCTCAATCACTTAATCTATTATAACACTTCCATTAAAACCTTAAACAAAGCATATAGAGGCATCATATCTTATTTTATTATAGAAATGATCTCTTATTGAAAGAACTTGGAATTAGAAAAATAGCTCGCCTAGATTTATGTTTTTATTTTATTCTTTAAGAAATTTCTTAAATAAAAACATTCATACAATTAACTTTAAAGTAATTAAAAGATCAGCACTATTTGACTAATCATAGAGTTTAGCACTAGTAGGGGTAAATTTGTCACATCATAGTTTTTTATATTAGTAAGTAATAAATAGATATGAAAATTTGTTACAATAAAATTAAATTAAGGGAGGTAAGCATAATTTCGTAAATTAGAAGAAAGATTAGTGTGAATGAACTAAACCTAAAGGAAAGTCTCTTAAATTATTCTTATTTTTTAATATTTTAATTTAAAATGAAGTGCTTATATATCATTCATTTTTTTAAATAAATAAATAATAAAAAAGTACTTATATATTCAACGGAGAGTTTGCTTTGGCAGAGGACTGATAAAAGGGTTTTCACGTTAATTATGGAATGCGACTGAAAGTAAACAAAAAAGTAGAAAGAGTAAATTAATGAGTTGACATTTCACTCAATGAAAGCTTAAAGTGAAACCGGAAATTGCCTTGCAAGTTCGTTTTTTACTTTTATTTTACCTTTTGCTAGTTCTCTTACAGGTTTTTTTTTCTCATCTGGTTCCCATACTCATTTGAATTCACTTCGTAAAGTTCATATTGAATTATCAAATGCGATTTCTAGCCAAGGAATTCAAACTCGAACCTCTTAATTTAAGATGAAGGAGTATAGTTGATAGTTCTCTTACAAGTTGTTATATTTTCTAAAGAAACAAAACATATTTATCTTATATAAATAAGGGTATGCAAAAATTGAACCGAAAAAAATTGATATTGATTTATTGCTATTAGGTTATTGGGTTAACAGATTTTTAATAATTTTGTAAATTTTTTTATCGTTATCGATTCAGATTTGGGTGGCTACTTGGTCATCTCCTTCTTTGGATAAGATTAGTTGGGACCTCCCTTGATGAGTATGTGTTGTCTAAAGATCAGTTTTTGTGACTTAAAGCTCATGGAGGATTATGTTAAGAGGACAAAATTTTACTAAGATCAGTGAGGTTTTTGTGCATTATGAGTGTTCGGTGGTTGGTTCTGGCTTCACTCCTGATTTAGCAAGTATTAGTTCAGATTTTCTCGTAATTATTTGGGAAAAGGATTCATCTCGATGGTTGTGCTGTGGTTTAGAGAGGTTCGGTTCAGGTTTGGTTCATGGGTTATAATGAGTTGTTGGCAAGAAAATTGGGTGCTTATTATCGGCCTTAATCAAACGTCTCAGATTTGAGCCCCGAGTATGGAGAAAATTCCATTGGGAGCACTATCCCAAAATGGGCACTGTAGTGCACGATCTGAATTTAGCTGGAGCTCCAATGAAGGCTCCTTACACCAGATGAAAAACCCAAAGAAAAATGAAAAATCCCTACCAAAATAGAAAAAAAAGTTGATAAACTTTAAAGATAAGAGTTAGAATCATAGAATTTGATTCAAAAAGTTGATAACTTGGTATACCTACTTTAATATGAAAATTAACAAATAAATTTAAAAAAAAGAATTTATAATACACTTTGTTCAACACTTTTCGACTATTGATTCATATTTTTGAGAGTGTATTACTCTAACTATCAAAGATTTGAAGAAATAGAGTGCAAAAAGAGTTACAAAGGATAAATAATGTGAGTGTTAACGAAGAAAATATAAGAATTCAAAACAATGTGTCCTTAATTTCTTCTATTTGAATGGGGTTGAGAAACATAATTTTTTATTTATAAAAATTTTATAGGGAAGAGCCGCCCTGATTAATTGCCTTGCAAGTTCTTCTTCCTTTTTAATTAATATTTTGCAAATTCTTATAATACAAATGTGTACCATATTTTCCAAGGAAGAAAGAAAGCATATTTATCTATCCTATATAAGCAGTCATTTGATCTTTATGGTTTCTAACCTTAAGGATTTATAAAGAGTAACCTGAAAATACTTCCCCTGTATATGAGACCCTTCACCCATGGCAAATTTGTATTCACCATGTTATGATGTTTTCTTGAATTTTAGGGGAAAAGATGTACGCAGAACTTTTTTAGATCATCTCTATAAAGCATTATGTGATGTTGGAATTAATGTGTTTAGAGATGATGATGAACTTCCAAGAGGCGAGGACATTTCAGGGAGTTTACTTGAAGCAATTGAAGAGTCAAATATTTCTCTTGTTGTTTTCTCCAAAAATTATGCATCATCTAAATGGTGTCTTAATGAGCTGGTCAAAATTCTTGAATGTAAAGAAAAACTTGGACAGCTCATTATTCCTATTTTTTATGATGTTGATCCTTCTGAAGTACGCCGTCAAACTGGTTTAATTGGAGATTCCCTTGCCAAACATGAATCCAATTCAAGTCCAGAACAGTTGAGGAAGTGGAGAGCTGCTCTTACTGCAGTTGCAAGTTTAGGCGGATTCCATCTTCAAAATCATTTTAACGGGTAATAGTTCTTGCCATCTGTATTTATTTTTGTAAGAAAAATATATGTTCCCAATTTTCATGAGAGTTTGATATTTCCTTTTCATTTTCTGTTTTCTCTTCTGAATACACATTTGCTAGCCCGGCAGTGTTTAGAACATGGGAATGCAAAGATACAGTTCTGCTAATTAATTCCATCTTTTCTGCTATAGATCTCATTAATTAATTGCTGCAAATAATTAGCTCGTTTCTGCAATCAATTTTATTTTATTTTTTCATTATTTTTACATGACAGTACTATTCAACCTCTAGTCAATGTTTTATTACCATTATTTATCGATATATAGATGGTTGCTCAGCAGTGTTGGGTAAGTGATAGCAGTAAATCTGTTGATCAAGATGCAGGAAATGCATTACAGACCCCAAATATGATTTCTTCTCACATGCCTAATAGGCATAAATAATTAATACATGTGCTGGTGAGGTAGGTATTAACTGAGGTGAAGTTGTATGGAGGGGCCATCTGTGTATTGGTTTAGTACTTCGTGACGTTTTTCTGGATTATTCCCATCCATCTTTTAGTTACTAATTTTGATGTCCTTTTTGAAAAGCAAGAGAATAAAATTATTTTCCTTTCAAAATTCTATTACTTTATGACTTGATCTTGTAATTAGAATACCTTTTCTCCCTTACAAAATACTACTACTATTTATTTACTACTACCATTTTTCCTTTTGTGCAGTAGTGAAGTCAAGTTCATTGAGATGATTATCCAGGAGGTAGAGGGTAAATTAAACAAAAAATATATGGACATTGCAAGGCATCCAGTAGGAATTAATTCTCGTGTTAGTGAACTAATAAATAAGTTGTCATGGACGGTGTCAAGTGATGTCATGTATGTTGGAATCTGGGGCATGGGAGGGGTTGGTAAAACTACCTTAGCAAAAGCCATCTTCAACCAAATTTCTCCAAATTTTGATGGTAGCTCCTTTCTTCATGTTGGATCGCAAGTTTCAAGGGGGGGTAGCGGTTTGGTTGCTTTGCAAGAAAAGCTTCTCAAGGATACTCTCAGGAAAAGAATTGAAGTCAGTTGTGTCGACCATGGAATTGAATTGATTAAACAAAGGCTTCAATCAAAAAGAGTTCTCATCATCCTTGATGACGTTGCTGATGTTGAAGAAATATACTCATTAGTGGGAGGGAAGCATTGGTTTGGTCCTGGCAGTAGAATTATCATTACCACGAGGGACCAACACTTGCTGAAATGTTCCACATGTGATGTAAAATATGAGGTCAAGTGTATGACCGAAAGTGAAAGTCTACAGCTTTTCTGTTGGCATGCTTTCAAGAATCCCCTCCCTCCAGAAGACTTTGTGGAGATCTCTGAAAGTCTGGTAACATATGCACAAGGGCTTCCATTAGCACTTGAAGTTTTGGGATCCTCTTTATATACAAGGAGCATGGTAGAGTGGAAAAGTTCCATTGAGAGATTAAAGCAAATCCCTCACAATTCAATTGTAGAGAGAATAAGCTATGATGGTCTCCCTGATCATACAACTAAGGAAATATTCCTTGATATCGCATGTTTCTTTGAAGGATGCGACAAGGAAGATGTTTCTAAAATCCTCAGCAGTTGCGGTTTCTTCCCTGAAATTGGAATTAATGTCTTGATCGAGAAGAGTTTAGTAACAATAAATGAATCCAATCAACTGAGTTTGCATAATCTGATTAGAGATATGGGAAGAGAAATTGTTCGTAGAGAATCCAAATATCCAGGTGAACGTAGCAGATTGTGGGATCCTGATGATATTCGTGATTTGCTTACTGGACATAAGGTAATGGTTCATTCTACTTTGAAGCCTGACCTATATTTTCCCAAGATTAGAAAACAAGGTCTCCTCAAAATTTGTTTTAGAAAAAAATTCTTAAGCACTACCTTACTAAGCTGTTTACCAATGGAAACTTGCTTTACTTTTAAGCTAGTCAATATGTCATACATAACTTACTCTCATGCATCTTCTAAAGTCCTTATATTTATACTAAAATTTCTTCTTCTATGGATTACAAGTATCTGAAAAACAGTTGAAAGCCAGAGAGAAGTGTTTTATGATACTCCCGTTGTCCTACAATATTGAAAATTTTAACCTAATCACTATAAGATATCCCCTCTCTGCATTTAACACAAGGAAGTATCTATTGTAAGAGCAGCATGAGCTACCTTTTGGTTCATCATTTATATAGAAAAATACTTGTCATATGCGTATAACATTAAATTCACAAACATAGTAATTTTAGAAGCTCTGCATGTGTTGGTAATTTCATTATTGACCTTATACCAGATGCGGGTCCCAATCCATATAGAGTAATTTTTGCTTCTTTTTTAGTCTCTTCCTCAAGGAATTATATCAAGGATGAGGAAGGCAAAGTATTGGTGGAAGAGACCTCCATCAAGCAAAGATGGCAAAGATACTTTCACAAACTTTTGACTGAAGGAGGGGATGGAGATTTTGTGTTGGGTGAGTTGGCGCACTCTGAAAGACTTCGGAACTTTGGGTACTGTAGGTGTTTTAGGATCGAGGAGGTTATAAGTGCTATTAGTAGGATGAGCAGGGGAAGAGCGACCGGACCCGATGAGATTCCGGTGGAATTTTGGAAGAGCACGGACAAGGCAGGTATAGAGTGGTTAACTGGGCTGTTTAATGTTATTTTTAAGACGGCAAAGATGCCTGATGAATGGAGGTGGAGTACAATGGTTCCGTTGTATAAAAACAAGGGTGATATCCAAAACTATAACAACTACAGGGGTATCAAACTGCTAAGCCATACTATGAAGATTTGGGAAAGAGTGGTGGAGATGAGGGTGAGAAGAGGGGTGTCCATCTCTGAGAATCAGTTTGGATTCATGCCGGGACGATCGACTACCGAAGCCATTCATCTTATGTGAAGACTGGTAGAAAAATATAGAGAAAGGAAGAGAGACCTACATATGGTATTCATTGACCTTGAAAAGGCCTATGACAAAGTACCGAGGAATGTCCTCTGGAGGTGCTTGGAGGCTAAAGGTGTCCCAATGATTTATATTAGGGCGATAAAGGACATGTACGGTGGAGCCAAGACTCGGGTTAGAACGGTTGGAGGAGACTCGGAACATTTCCCAGTTGAGATGGGGCTGCATCAGGGATCAGTCCTTAGCCCTTTTCTATTTGTTGTGGTGATGGATGAGTTGACGCGGTCTATTCAGGAGAAGGTCCCATGGTGTATGTTATTTGCGGATGACATAGTACTGATTGATGAGATGCGGGACAGAGTTAATGCGAGGCTGGAGGTGTGGAGACAAACGCTGGAGTCCAAAGGGTTCAGGTTGAGTAGGACCAAAACTGAATATTTGGGATGCAAATTCAGTGATGCGGTGGATGAGGCAGATGGGGAAGTGAGACTTGACACACAGATTATTCCTAAGAAAGAAAGTTTTAAGTATCTTGGGGCTGTAATCCAAGGAAGTGGTGACATAGATGATGATGTCACACATCGCATTGGGGCGGCTTGGATGAAATGGAGGCTTGCCTCTGGAGTCTTGTGTGATAAGAAAGTTCCACCGAAACTTAAAGGTAAGTTCTACAGAGTGGTAGTTAGACCGGCCTTGTTGTATGGAGCGGAGTGTTGGCCAGCCAAGAACTCACATGTTCAAAAACTGCATGTTGCGGAGATGAGGATGTTGAGATGGATGTGTAGGCACACTAGGAGCGATAAGATTAGGAATGAGGCTATCCGAGAGAAGGTGGGAGTGGCCTCTGTGGTGGACAAGCTGAGGGAAGCGAGACTGAGATGGTTTGGGCATGTGAAGAGACGGTGCATAGACGCCCCAGTGAGGAGGTGCGAGGGGCTGGTTGTAGAGGGTACGCGGAGGGGTAGAGGTAGGCCTAAGAAGTATTGGGGAGAGGTGATTAGACATGACTTGGCTCAGCTTCGCATTACCGAGGACATGACTCTAGATAGGATAGATAGGAAGGAGTGGAGGTCGCGTATTAAGGTTGAAGGTTAGTAGGGCTAGCGTGTTGTCTTTCCTTGCGAGGGTATGGGTGGGTAGCGTTTGTAGTAGTCCTAGCCTTGCTCTTGTAGTTCTTGTCTGTGATCCTATAGCCATATGTCGTTTACTGCGTTTCACCTCTCACAGTATTTTCTTGATGTTATTGTCTCCTTTGTTGATTATGCCCTTTTTTTTTTTTCCTTATTGGATGCTATGTCCTATATAATGTTTCCTCTTCTTTTACTTGGTGTTGTTGTACTTGAGTTGAGGGTCCTCCGGAAATAGCCTCTCTACCTCCACGAGGTAGTGGTAAGGTCTGCGTACACTCTACCCTCCCCAGACCCCACTTAGTGGGATTTCACTGGGTATGTTGTTGTTGTTGGCATGAGAAACACACAACCATACCCAATGCAATATTAAGCATTGAATTGAGCCATTAGCTAATGAGGTGCTTCACTTTTCTTTGATTATGTAAAAGAATTAATAGTTTGACCCCCCTACACTACTGACTTTATTCACCTGAGCTCTCTATTCTAAATCTTGATCAATAAATTTCGAACACATCCTGTATGTCTTGATGGAACTGATCATTTCTCATCATGAATCCAGGGAGGGGAAAAAGTTGAGGCATTGAAGCTAGAAGAACCAGTATTTAAGGACATGCGTGTGAGTACAAAAGGATTTTCAAAAATGAAGAACCTAAGACTACTCCAAATTGATCATCTTCCTCTTGAAGGAAGCTTCAAGGACATGTTTACAGAGCTTAGAGTGTTAAAATGGCATCATCGCCATTTGGAACACTTCCCATCGGATTTGCATCTGGACAAACTTGTTATTTTGGATGTGAAACACAGCAGCTTCAAAGAGTCCCCTAGTACAAAGGTCTGATGTTCTACAACTTTACTCCTTGAATTTGAACAATTAAATCTGCTATTCTAGAGTTAATACATTGCTTCATTTGTCCAGCACTTAAGGTGTTTGAAGATTTTGGATCTGAGCTATTGTGAGAGCCTAGTGAGAACTTCAGACTTCACTGGTTCACCAATGCTTGAGAAACTACTTTTCAGAGGTTGTTCTAGTTTGACTGAGGTGCATTCATCAATTGAATATTTGGAGGTTCTTGTGTATTTAGATTTCACTGGGTGTAAGAAACTTAAGGGACTACCTGAAAGCATCTGTAAGCTGAAATCGCTCAAGAAGCTATATCTGAATGATTGTACAAATCTACAACAATTGCCTGCTGACATGGGGAATCTTAGGCGTTTGACGGCACTTTATGCAATGGGAACATCTATTAAACAACTACCAGTGTCTTGTAGACTTTTGAAGAATCTTCAACTCTTGGAAGTGGGAAATGGCTGCAAAATTTTACAACCTAAATCTCATCTTTCCTTCATTTCATCCTTTTTAGCATCAAAAGATCATGATATTCTTCCATCTTCTATTATAAATTTACCGTCCTTGGAAGTTCTAAAAGTTCCTTTCTTCAATCTGTGCCAAAGAGATATTCCCAATTGTCTTGGCCGATTATTCTCGCTGGAAGTCTTAGATTTAAGTGGAAATAACTTTCACAGCCCACCCCTCACTCTTAGTCACCTATCCAGGCTAAAAACCCTTAGCCTCTATGGATGCCCGAATCTCCTTATGCTCCCAAATCTTCCTTGTAACCTAGAAGAACTATGCACAAGGAATTGCAGGTCACTAGAAATGCTTCCAGATTTGTCAAGTGCAAACAGATTGCAACTGTTGGATTTCTGTGATTGCAGTAAATTGGTTGAGATTCGGGGCGTTGAGAGCCTTAAATACTTGAAGTATATGAATGCAATAGGTTGTATGCTCAGAAAAAATCCCCTAGCTGAAGGCTTCTTCAAGGTTGGTTGCTCTGTCACTTGTATAATTCAAACATTGTTGTTCCCTTATACATTTCTCTATGTAATACCTTTTCTCTGATTCATGTTTAGGCAAATTCTGCACTCAATGGCGTAAATGTTTTTCTTCACTGTGATGAGATTCCTAGCTGGTTAAGCTATCGGGTTGTGGGATCTTCAATATCTTTGATTGTTCCACAATACATGGAACAAGAATTCCTTGGCATGATTGTTTGGGCTATTTGTGGACCTCAAGGAGAACATTGTGTTGGAACCCCCATTGCCATCATCACTGACCAGAAAAATAGGATTGAGTATCCGCTTTTTGGTGCAGACATTCCAGTACGGTATGAGAGTTATGCATGGGTGAGCTATATGCCAAGACGACATTTCAAACGCCCAATTAAAGGCGGTGAGAAAATGATGGTTTCTATCAAAGAGCATCATTCATCAAAGGAAGGTTTAGGAAAGAAGTTTGGGGTTCATCTTTTGTTTGCAACCAGCCCAAAAGGAAAGTCATTCCTTTCGAGCTGATTGAGACAGAGATGATGGACTTTTGAGGTCTTGCTTTTGATTCAAGTTTAATATTTTTCCAACTTTTCTTGGGCTGCTGGGGTTTTGATAAACATCCAACCTGAGAACAAGTATTGTGTGTATGCATTTTGTAAGACCTTCCTACTTTCATTCTGACTATATATGGTAGTTTCTAAAAAAATTTTATGGTTGATATTGTGGTAGCAGTTGAATGTTATGTACTTTTAGAATTAGATGTTCAAAATGATCTGGTTTTCTAAGAAATATAATCTATGCAATACAAAAAGAGTTAATACCTAAAAGTTCTCCTAAATTATTCACGTTTTGCAAGTAAAATACTTAAAACTATAAGGTGTTATGTTACTTCTGAGCTTATAATGTTCTTTAAGCCAAAGTTGTACAGGTAAATCACTACTTATCTGGACTATGCTTTGTCAGAACAAATGTAGCTATTAGAACCTGCAGATTTATACCTTCACTCTTTATGCTATATATCAAATGGTTTTTCTGGTTCATTTTATTTTTATCCAAAAATTTGATCAAGTACACATATTAGGAGTTGTCCCTCAAAACTTGTTTTCTAATTTAGACTGCTTGCTAGGCCGTAATAAATGGAACAGCGGCTTCTACAAACACTATTATTCTTGTATAATAAGAACTAAAGAGAACTCCCATTTTTCACCTCTGGAGTGTGTAAGTAAGCATGATCCGATGATTGGGACATTCTGCTTATTGCTAAGAGGACAGTAGAAACCCATGAAATTGAGACCGTTTTCTGTTATAAATTTAATGCATGTTATTTCCAGTTCATTTTGTTTTAAGTCTGAAGAAGTGAGATTTTTAAGTACTAATCTTAGAGAGTTAAATTTTTTAAAACTGAGATGACATGCTAGGCTGGTGGAAGTGGATTACTGGTTGCTACACTTACTATCATTCTTGTGTTGATAACTAGAATTAAAGAAAACTTGCAATTTTCAATCTTGAAGAGTCGGCATGATCAGCAGTTTGGGATATTCTGGTTACTGTTCAAAGGATTGCAAGTAACTTCATGAAATTGAGATAGTGGAGTTTGAAATGCTCTGTGTGGTTCCTTGGTTTGTGTTCTATTACAACAAAAGGTTATATTTGATCTGTGTTGTGTGTTGACCTAGTGTGTTTTTTATTTTTATTTTTGAAACTGGTATAGTTGTATTCCTCAGCATTAAGGTATGCTGGAGACCTCCAAAAGGTAGTAACAAGCTAAAACAAGAGACTAATTACGGTAATCCTAAAAGATCTACTAATTGTTCAGCATTTTCTATACAATGTTCTTTACACCAAAAGTAGAAAGTTGCAATGCAGCTCCCTTTGATTTTCTGAATGTTGTTGAATCTATCTTCAAAGTTTCTTCCATTCTTCTCCCTCCGGATAGTCCACCAGATGCAGTGTGGGATTATTCTCCACCACGTCTTCTGTGTCTTGCTTCCCCCTCTCCTAATCCAGCAACTTAACAAGTTTGCGTGCTCTGGCATTGACCATTTTGTCTCTGTTAAACTGAGGAACATAGTCCAAAGAAGAGATGTGACTTTACAATGGAGAAACAGATGATTATTTGTCTCTCTAGCCTCAATACATAACATGCATCTGGACACAATTGGCAATCCCTTTTTCTGCAGGATCTCATGAGTGAGGCAAGCTTTCGTGATTACTAACCAAGCAAAGCACTTGACTTTAGTAGGAGCCATACTTTCCCATACATTCTTCCAAGGACCTATTTTGTTCTCAGGCATCCAGGATACCTCTTTTCTATAAATTCTGCCTACAGAGAACTTGCCATCCTCATCATGTTTCCATCTAAAAGTGTCATCTCGCACTTGCGTTTGTTTTAATTGTTACTCGACTAATGAAAAACACTCAGTTGGATGTTTTGGAACTTTTTGGGACATATCTTTTGTCTTCCTAACGCTTCGTTATAGCTTTCAATTACTGTTCAATAATGATTATGGAGATGGATGTTGCTGATTCTTCATATTGCATGCTCTGCTTGCAGTAACTTGTGGTTCCATTGTGGATGTTTGCTTTCTCTTTGGTATTCAGAACTAAATCTAAGCTTTAGTTTAAGACATTAAATGTCAAGTAATCTTTCTTGTTTTGGTAAAAAAAAATTCCTAGTTTAAATACATCGTACAACTTCCAATCTCACTAGTGATACATGCCTCTTTTACTTTCAAAATGCACTTACAGATCGGCGTACGCTTTGGGCAACTTTTATTCCATGAAATACGGGCTTGTGTTCCTTTTCCATTTGCTTTTTGAATGCATCTGTAATATAGTCGTATGATCCATGTGATACACTTCAGTTAATTATTAAAAGTTGCCAAGATATAAACAAAGTCCCTCCTGTAGTCTGACGTAAAATAAAGATAAGTTACAGGTATCATAATCATAATTATGCTCTATAATTCAATCAGAATCTCCTATAACCATGTTTGTCAACCAAGATCTATATACATAACTAGTCATTAACCTCAACCTAAACTGTGTTTCTCCTTATTTACTCATGTAATGGATGGGATGCTCCCTCCCTCCATCTTAGAGTCTTGACTGTGACTTCATCATGGAAGATTGCATCTTTGTCAAAAGCTTAGTTGAAACAGGGTCAATCCAGTTAACATGCACCAGGACTTCTAGTATATATGCCCAGATGATGTGATCAAGGTAAATGACAACTTCTTGGGATTTTCCTCCAGACCTTCTTGATCAAGACATTGATGATTTCGGTGGTAGCTCAGGTGTCCACTTTCTAGTGCACATCGAGTTAAAAAGGAATAAACTTAATATCAAATTCTTGTGCAAAAGCATGCACTTGTCATCACTGAATATTGTATGTTTATTGATTATGATCGATTATAGAGTACCACTATAAGAATAATTTGGTTCCTGAATGAACTAAATCATATCATCTTACCTAACTGACACCCCATCTGAAATACTCCATTGAAACCACATAAAATAACATGTCCTTTGAAACTATGCATGTGTAGGAAGTTCAGCTAAATACTGACTTGGTTCTATCCTTTCCAGTAAAGAAAAAAAGTAAGCTTATCGACTGAACAAGGACTGTAATACCGTCCAGAATTGCTGAAACCAATCATTACATGTCCAGCTTGAGAGTCGGCATATTGATAAACTCGTTAAACATCACGTTCAGCCCTTAATACAGCATCCATCACAAATGGCAACAGCTTTAGCAGTAAGAGATGACCTGTCACAACTTGTCGTGGATACAGACATTAAAAGATTGACCATATTTGCCTGACGTAGAGGCAATCAAGAAAGCTGCATAAGTGAATATATAACCTACAGAAAAGTGAGCTAATCCAACCAATAGTTCAGCCATGAAACGAGCAACCCATTGTGGAAAAATATAATCTAGAATAGGTATCATTAAAGCCAGAATAAGTACAGGTAGTGATGCCATCAAATGGAAAATTTTATATCATCAAAGGAGGCAGGACCAATGACAATGATAGGAATAGAACAGAATTGACAATATAAACCTCATTCCATTCTGACTGGGTTTTTGCTGCATTAATTCTCAGATCAATCAACCTACCATTAGCACAGAAACATTTGCTCCTAGCTTCCCAAAATAGTCGTTAACTTAAAAGGTTAGATAACACAAGGAATTCTGCTAAGTTCCAGTTTTTATCTTTAGCAGGGCAAACTCTGGCTCTACTACTACCACAAGAACAATCAGATTTAAGACCAAAATCCATTATACTAGATCACTAGTACAATACCTAGATATAAAACTATGGACACTACACCTTATTTTCTTCCTACAAAAATTTTGCAAACTACAGATCTCCTTATAAAAAGAATCAGGTATTTTGAAACAATAAAGAGTATAAACAACAGGTTTAGCAACCAGCAATAATTTAAGCAAGATTTCTTTAACCACACAGCACACATTTTTCTTTCCAACCTTGGAAACATTACATGCCTCTAACAAAATTTAAAGAGTCACTAGGAAACAGGAAGCAAGACAACACTGGAATAGCACATTGTGATGCCATTGTAAACCAACCATCAACTGGGGGCCTTATTTATTTTGTACAGCACATGACAATATCCTATTAGGGAAATCATTTTATCAGGGGTGGTGGTGGAAGGAGAACTCATTTTCAACAGAAAAAAAAAAGAAATCTTAGATCAAGTTAGTTCCAGATGCTCCAAAGAAATTCCAAAAAGCAGCAGAATCCCTCCGTTCATTGAATCAGTCCAAATTTACAATCAAATTATCGTACTTCAACTTTAACGTCTCAAACAAGTATCTAATGAAGCATAAAAGTTCATGTTGGAAGTACACACACAGTTTATTTAAAATGATAATAATAATAATAATTAGTACATACACAGTAGAGCTCGATTAAGGAGTAACTCTTCTCCCATACAGAAATGCATACATCGTGCTAAATCAAATTAGGTGAGTTATTACCTTCATGGACTTCTCTTGCAAATAGCAACACCGACAAAAATGGAGAACAACGCCAGAAAAGTTCCCTTTCTTGAGAGCATAAACTCAGTCCACGTCAAGGGCCTTGTAATCTGAGTTAACACTTTCTGGAACTGTTCATGCAAAGCCTCCAGTGAACCGGTGTTATCAATCACAATATCTGCCTGTGACCTCTTAAGATCCAGGGACATCTGTGCATTTATTCTGCTTTTGGCATCCTCCTCCATTGATCCATCTCTAATCATGAGCCGCTGCAGCTGTGTCTTAGGATCAACCCAAACGACAACAATGGGTTTAGTCCACTTATCCATCCTGGCCTCAAACAAAAGAGGAACATCAAGAACAATTATGGAGCAACCCTTTATCCACAGCTTCAAAACTTCCATTAAAATACCACGTGAGATAAATGGTGCTAGCAACCTACATAGACACAATCCCATGTTCAAAACCTTACATTGCAACAAAAACCATTATGTGATCCTGCAGCAATTCAAATCTTAGACAATCTGATAAAACTAGGCCAAAATATAATATTATTTGGAGTAAAGCAAGAAATAAATTAGTAGCCTCCCACATTTTGTTATTCAAGATATTTTTGCTGCTCCTTATCTTGTTTCTCAAGAAGCCAAGATCCTTTTGAGTGTCAACTTCAGCAGAATAGAAAGCTAATGCTATATTTCCATTGGATTAACTTCAAAGGCTACTAATATACTCAATAAAATACCGAAAACGGAATACCCATCTCCAGAAGCAGCAGCAGTTTGCCAATGTTAAAGGTACACTTTCAAGTGGCCAATGTTTTTGATCATTGTTGTCATAAGACAACAATATGGCCACATTTAAAAATGGTAACATGTACATATGAACATATGAGTCAAAACAGCAGTAAATAGTGGAAACAATCATTACAAAAACCCAACCATGCTTAGGAGTACTGCTTCACAAGGATCCTATCATATCAACTAGTGATCCATCCTCCTCTACATAGTTTTCTTTACACCAAAAATGAAACAAAAGAATACAATTCATCTTGACTTTCTGCACAAAATTGTATTTGTCTTCAAAAAATCTAGAGTTCCTTTCCTTCCAGATTGTCCATGCATGCTGGGACAAGTTTCCACCACCTCTTCTGCCTCACTGCTCCACCATCGTAGTTCCAACACATCAATAACTCACAAATTGTTGCTGGCATAGACCACCTGAGACCTACCATGTTGAGAAATAGTTGCCACAGTTGCCCAGCAATGGAACAATGTAAAAATTAATGACTGCTAGTTTCCCAAGTAGCACCACACATATGGTACCTAGAGCATAGCTGGAATCCCCTTTTTCTTAGATTTTCCTGAGTAAGGTAGGTTTCTCTTGCTACTAGACAGGAAAACATAGAAACTTAAAAGAATCCCTTACTTTCCATATAAACTTACATGGCCAGTGATCAATTTGGTGGTTTGACCTAGACAATAAGGTATAGGAAGATTTGACAGTGAAGACCCCTTCTTTGCCAGGCTTCCAGATCAAGTGTCGTCAGAATCTTTGAGACCATGGAAGGAATTTAATATCTTGAACAATTCAACAACTCTTTCCAGTACCAAGTCATGTAGTAGTCTTTTGAAAGTAATGTTCCACCTCTGCACTCCCTTCACTGTTTCTAGATTTGCTTCAGGTAGTGTTGCAATGCTATAGAAACCAGGGAACAGTTCTTTCACAGAGCCATGTCCAAGCCAGTCATCATTCCAGTATAGAGTTCTTCTTCCTTTACCCACTCTTATACCGGTGTTATCAATCATAAAGTTCCAGGAAGATCTAATGGCTCACCCCATAGAGGTTGTTGACAATTCTTGTACACCACTGTCCATCTTGGCCATACTTGTCATGAATAACCCTTCTCCATAGAGCATTAGTCTCCAAGTAATACCTTCAAAACTACTTCACAAGCAAGCTTTGATTATGAGCATTTAGATTCCTTGTGCCTAAGCCTCTTTTCCTTTTGTTAGTAATGAGACTTTTCCAATTAACCAAATGTACTTTCTTGTCTTTGTTGCCTTGACATATGAAATTCCTCCTTAATGTGTCAATTTTGTTCCTTACCTTACAAGGTGAAGGAACCAGAGACAACTTTTAATGTTTAAAAAAAAAAGGAACCAGAGATATGACATATGTAGATAGTGCATCCAGATTCCAGAACACAGTTTACCAGAACTATATTCTCCCAAAGAGAGATATTGACACTTTTAGATTGCTAGCCTCTTCTCACACCTTTCAATACCCCAATCCAGAGTTCTCAAGCTTTACTTGTTTCCCCTGGGAAGAGCCCTAGATGAATAGTTGGTAATGACCCCGCTCACATCTGAAGATAGCTGCTAGCACCTGGATGTTGGCAACTTCCTTAACTGGGAATAGCATGCTCTTACTCCAATTAACATGTAGCCCTAATACTACTTCAAAGATCACCAGAATAACTCTCAGATGTTTTACTTGGTCAATATCAGCATCACAGAAGATTGAAGAGTCATCTGTTGTAATCGCAGCACTATTGTCCTCCCTGATTGCAGCTTTAAACCCCTTCAGAAAAGACCATTGTCCTTCACCACCTTAAACAACTGGTTCAGTCCTTCCACTGCAATAAGAAACAGGAATGGTGATAGAGGATCACCTTGCCTCAAACCTCTCACGGAAGGGAAAGGTCCTTCTGTGCACCCATTCACCAAGATAGAAAATTTCACAATCTTTATGTCGAAGAGATCCAATTAATCCACTTCACACCAAAGGCCATGCCTTTTAGAAATTTAAGAAGGAAGGTCCAATTAACATGGTCATGTGCCTTGAAGCATAACATCCAACAAAATTGACTTATTTCTATATTCGCTGTTAAACTTCAAGTATAACATCCAACAAAGTTGACTTATTTCTATATTTGCTGTTAAACTTCAAGCATAACATCCCACAAAGTTGACTAATTTCTATATTTGTTGTCGAATTGTACTCTCAATTAATCAATCAAAGCCTCAAGCCCATAATAATTTGAGGTTGGCTATATGCTCTGTATCGGTTCCCACTCTATTCAGGCTACTTCATTTCATCACTCAATAGCTTGACTTTCTTAAGCCTAATAAGAGTTCTATAAAACTGGAGCTTCTCTAAATGACTGAATCTCACATGTCTCTCTAAACCGACATCAAAATCTCTAACTACATGGAAAAGACTATGATAAACACAAGACTTGGCATAAATGTAATAAAAACAACCATGCCTTTATCCTAAAAATGATATCATCTATAAAACTGGAGGTTTCTACATTTCACATGTCTCTCTAAACTAACACACAAATCTCTAACTAAAAAGAAAAGACTGTAGTAAACACAAGATTAAAGTAAATGTAACAAAAACAACTATGCCTTAATCCTTCAATTTTCAAAGAGCTACTAAACTGCCAATCCCAAAGAGATTATACTCTTTACTGACCAAAGTAAAATAAATGTCATTGATAAGAGATGTTTTAAACCTACATAAAAAAAAAAAAAAGATAAGAGATGTTTTAAGCATTTAGTATTAATATTCTGAAATATAACAGTTTGATAGCAGTTTACTTATGGTTTTTATTTCTCTGCGTTCACCCCTCATGTTTACTTCTCCGAGTTCAAGTTCCAGGCATGGAAACAAGTTGTCTCATTTGTGTGGAAAGAGAAACTAAGTTCTCAAGGAAGCTCCAAAATCACCACACCAAATCAAACCAGAATCAGCTATAGGATGAAGTTTTCCAGATATAAAGTTTTTCTTCATATATTTTGATTGTAGAATGTTAAATTAGGTCTTAGGCCTAATTTAACATGGTATCAGAGCAGGGCCCGTCTCACCCGATGTTGGGGCCCCCAAAAATCAAAAATTGCCCACGCACCAGATGCTAAGATGCACTGGGCGTGAGGTGGGGTGTTAAAGAATGACAAAAGTCTCACATCGGTGGTTAATGAGATGGGTGGACTCCTTATAAGGCATGGGCAATCCTCCTCCCTTTGAGCTAGCTTTTGGGGTGTGAGTTAGGCCTAAGACCTAATTTAATGTTAAATTAGGTCTTAGGCCTAACTCACACCCCAAAAGCTAGCTCAAAGGGAGGAGGATTGCCCATGCCTTATAAGGAGTCCACCCATCTCATTAACCACCGATGTGAGACTTTTGTCATTCTTTAACACCCCACCTCACGCCCAGTGCTTAGCATCTGGTGCGTGGGCAATTTTTGATTTTTGGGGGCCCCAACATCGGGTGAGACGGGCCCTGCTCTGATACCATGTTACATTAGGTCTTAGGCCTAACTCACACCCCAAAAGCTAGCTCAAAGGGAGGAGGATTGCCCAAGCCTTATAAGGAGTCCACCCATCTCATTAACCACCGATGTGGGACTTTTGTCATTCTTTAACATGTTAAATTAGGTCTTAAGCCTAACTCACACCCCAAAAGCTAGCTCAAAGGGAGGAGGATTGTCCAAGCCTTATAAGGAGTCCACCCATCTCATTAACCACCGATGTGGGACTTTTGTCATTCTTTAACACCCCACCTCACGCCCAGTGCTTAGCATCTGGTGCGTGGGCAATTTTTATTTTGGGGGTCCCAACATCGGGTGAGACGGGCCCTGCTCTGATACCATGTTAAATTAGGTCTTAGGCCTAATTCACACCCCAAAAGCTAGCTCAAAGGGAGGAGGATTGCCCAAGCCTTATAAGGAGTCCACCCATCTCATTAACCACCGATGTGGGACTTTTGTCATTCTTTAACAGGAACTATCCTGAACCTTTTTTATTAGTGTTACTCGGCGAACATAAGAAAATAAGAGGAAGTACTAGTTTTGTTTCTTTGGATTAGACAAAAAGTATCCAATTTTTTGTTTTTAATGACAAGGAAACCTGCAGCCGCTATCCTTGGGTGCGCACAGGGTAAAGCCCCAGCTCCTATGCAATAGCTCGCAAACCACATAGGAGAGGTAACCCACACTATGCAAGCCCGGTGCGACGAGCTCGACCCAGAAAGACTGAATACAGGATTAATTATCTGCTGATCTAATTGAAAGACTGATTACAGGACTAATTATCTGCTGATCCATTTTTTCCTTTATCATAACATTATATCAGACAAGTTGAACGTGTAAATTATATAACAATAAACCAGGAAGACTAAAAAAGTAGAACTTCACTCAGCAACTAGTTCATATTTTCATACCAAACTTTACCTATTAAGAAGCTGACGTCTTCCCGGATCAGAGAATACTATTTGACCTAGCTTTGCACGATCAACTTCTCCATTTTCCAGTAAGATATCCTCACCAAATGCGGCAACAACCTTTTTCCAACCACCTGTTCCTTTCTTCAAAACGTTCTACATAATTATATTTTTTTGTCAGTATATAGAGCTTGCCAAAAACTTGCACAAATTTTAGCGGATGGAGATAATATGCCCAAATTGACAGTTAATCAAGCATAATATATTAAGACTCTTTATATTTGATGCACTAAATAAGCCTGGTAACGGAATAGCAAAAGGAAAAGGAAAACGTAGTTACCCGAGCTACGATGTCAGCATCGACAACGGGAATACCATGAGCCTTGAAAAGGTTGGAGACAGTGCTCTTCCCTGAAGCAATCCCTCCGGTCAGTCCGACTATCCTCATTCTTATTTTGGGAACAAAACAAGTGATGAGGAACAACTCCAGTACTCCAGCTGCTCAAACTCAGTTTCTTCCTCTGCTTCTCTCACAATTCCATCAACCAACTAGCTTCTGGATTTGAGGAAATCTTCAAATCAATTTGGAATTGAACAAGTAGCTGGAGGTTCATTACCAAAAAGAATTGAATACAGAACTTCTATTGCACCATAAACTACAAACTTCTTTAGTGAAGGTAGAAACATTTTACGCATAAAAGCATTAAATATGGACCTGTGATTTAAGTTGGTGGAAAGCATCAAAGGATAGACACATTATCATTAAAAAATACACACACACACACACATCAAAGCACAGAGAGAGAACTCAATCATCTAAGAAGATTAATTTCAATTCACACAGTTATCAATCCACCACACATACATGCTCAGTATAGAAGTGGTGATAAAATCTTTACATGGTTCTCATTGCTCAAGAAAACATATTCAACCAAAACATTTCTACCATTGCAGTTTACTGGAGAATATGAAGCCGACACATAAATTTTGTACCTCAAATATCTCAATAGAGGTTCCACAACCACCATCATAAATTATGATGAACAAGTTTACTTGAGCAGATCACAAATAAATATTACATAACAGAATGCATTATCGGAGTATTGAATGGGTGTACCACCAAAGGTATAGAAAATTTGTTCATTTTTTTCAAATTCGGTTTGGTTCAATTAGGTATTTCTGAACCGATTTCTTTTTTTTTTGGTTCAACTCTGTTACACCTATTCGCCTCTATCAAAGCCAGGAAATTAAATGGGAAAGTGAAGAACAGGTAAGACCCTCTCGAACAATAACAACTACTCCATTTTTATGAATTCAACCTTCAACTGTAAAAGAAAATCAACATTCAAGTAGTAAACTAGAAGTAGCTAACCAAATGGCAAGAGAGAATAGTACCTTGACGCTGGTCGGATTCGAGGTCGGAATAGCCGGAGGCTCAGTCGGTACTCAGTCGCCGGCAGAGTGGAGATTAGGAAATACAGAATTTTGGGACAATGCAAATGCAACCATGTTTTTTTTTTAGAAATCAAAATATTACTACCTCCGTCCACTTTTAATAGTACAATTTGCTAATTTTAGAGTCAAATTATAAAAAATTTAACTAACATTTCATGATGTATTTTTTCATCGTATTGATACGTAACAAAATGTAATATATAGTACTACCTAATATGGGAAAGATATATTATAACTCAATCTGATTTCTATTAACCGTCAAATGGTAATTTTTATTAATATATTAAAAAAATATTACCTAAACTAAAACCAAGAAATTTGGGAAGAAAATTTAGTAAGTTGAATGGCTAAAAACGACAAATAAGAAAGAGATTTTTTCATAAACAATGAGATTTTTGGAGTTTATTTACATAATATAGTGATATTTTTTATATTTATTAAATGTAGCAAGACTTTTCCTAAAAAAATGATGTGCAATATAGTGTATGAGAACATGAGGATGTTGTATCATAAATATAGCCACAACCCACAATAAAAAGAAGAAAATTGCGATAGAATGTTTAAAAATAAAAATAAAAATGGACATCCTTTAAAATGAATTATAAAAGTAAAATGAATTTATATCTAATGTAGTTTGTTAATCAAGCTAGTTGGTCAGATCTTGGATCTTAGAATTATGAAGAATTATACTCGATCTCGAGATGAACCACTTTACAGCAAAATCATGGGTTATAGCCTTAAGAACCAATCCATAGAGTATAAGATTCCTAGAACACACATAAACATAATGAAACTCATTTATTCATATATGAGAAATCAAGTTAAATAATAGATTATTCAGAAAAAATAACCAATAAACATATAATATATATGTATATTAACCAGCGATGGTAAATATTATTACAGAAATAGTCAAATGTATCGAAGCTAAAACAAGGAATTTGCCTTTTGGATCGACCTCATCTCATCGGACCGAACTTATCTAGTGCGGGTTATCTTCTTTGTGTGATTTACAAGCTATTATATAGAAATGAGGAATTTACCCTATGTACACCCAAAAACTAGCGAGGTTAACTTCCTCTTCATATATTGGTACTCAAAAATGAAGAAGGCCTAAAATTAATGAAGACCCATAGTATGAGGCCTTTTAAGGTCATCACTCACCAACAATTATGGGCCTAGAAATTCTCGTTTCACTATATTTCTCACAACATATTAGTGAATAACTAGTCTTCCTCATTTTTTATTTTTAGATTTTAACTTATATGGACTAACACTGTAATTTTCATACTTTTAATATATTTTAAAAGTTACTATATAATTGTAACAGGTTATTTACTGCACTCATTAAAATTATCAAATTATATTACTGCCACCAAATAATAATATTGTTAGTGTACGAAAGATTCATTATCTCTTTTCGAGGAAATGAGATCTCTTTTCCTTTTACAGTTTGAATTAAAGAAAATGTCTTTTTTTTTCATTTTTATATCATGTAAGTATGAAAAAATAGATAAATCTAAAAATATTGATAAAAGACTAAAAACCCATTTCTCCCTTATTTTTCAGCCTTATTTAATTATAGAAAAAGGTATTTTTCACTTTCACAATTAAAGAGACGTAACAAGTAATCAATAAAATTGAGTGGGATATTAATTAGAATAACTTTCCCATATAGCAAACATAAAAATCATATTTGTATGTTATAGCTATAGGTTGCATAATTGTGCTCCATAACAAATTTTATGTTTGCTATGGAGCTTTTGATTTGTATAATTTGCTAGATGCATCCAATTTTATACAAATTGTTTAATTTTGTATAAATTCATTTATACATTGTAATTTGTATAATAAGATCTATATTTGTATAATTATAAGTGTATAGGACAAAAATATATGTATTTGTATTTGTATATACACTTTTCTCTCGCTTTATACAAATACAAACGCATTTTATACATTTTATACATGTATATACCGAATGGGTAATTGTATACCGAAAAAGGCTAATTATATACCAAACCAGATGACAAAAAAATGAGATGTTTGCTGCGAATTACAAATAAAATAAACCATGGCTATAATTTAATTTGAATTAATAATTTATTATTTTATACAATTTTCCCTATTAATTAACCACCAAGCTTAATTTCTTGACAAATATAATACTAGAATACGTCCACCTTTTATTTATATTTTTTGCTATAGAAAACATGTTCATATATAAAAGGGAAAATTACACGAAATGAAAAATATCTAAAATATATTATGTAATATAGTTATAGTTTCGATTATTTTTAATCCGTGGCTATAATTTGTGAAATTTTGCTATTCAATTTCCTAATTGTATAAATTCAGAATTTGTATAATTTGGTTCATGATTGTATAAATCCAGAATTTGTATATGCTTACGCTAACTATTTGTATACTATTTATAAGAAATTCATAATAAATTACTTTGTTTGTATATTGGCAAGTGGAATATACAAACATAGTTCTGAAAAGTTTCTAAATGTATAAATTCAGAGTTTGTATATACTTACTATGTTTGTATATTCGCTCGAAATATACAAACAGACAAGCGAAATATACAAATCGCAGCCTCCATTTATATATACTTATCATTTTTGTATATTTGCAAGCGAAATATACAAACGGGCAAGTGACATATACAAATCACAGTATCCATAGCAAACGGAACTATAGCTACGGAGCGCAATTACCGAAATTATAGTTATAGAGACTTATTATGTCTATTATTTTTGTTATTTTTGAATTTTTCTCTATATAAAATCTAGGTGTAGACTTCGTTGATCTGGTAGAGTCATTGAAGAGAAGAGCTATTGGGACTGTTGGGAACAATTCCTTAGGTGTTACAAAGACCGTTGAAACCTTAAATTGCTCAAGTTTAGTGGAAATTTGAAGAAAAAAAACACCTAAAGAGATAGATTTTAGTTTTTTCCTCCTTTAAGCAACGAGTTTTTCGTGCTAAATATTTGTATTGATTTACTTTATTCCGTAATTTATCTTCTTGCATAGATGCTTAAAGAACAAGGTTCTTTGAGTGCTTAGTAGCAGTCAAACCAACGATAATTATCCATTAATAATCATATATATTTATCTTTTAAATAACCTGATAGTATCAAGCTTTTTTACGTACACATGCAATAATGTATACAAATTAGGGGTGTATAAAACTGAACCAAAAACCGAACCAAACCGCAAATCGAGTCAACCCGAAAAAAACCCGACTAGTGGTTTGGTTTGACTTGGTTTGGTTTTGAAACAAAAAACGGACTATATTTGGGTTGGTTTGGTTTTAATTAAAAAAAACCAACCCGAGACCAAACCAATCCGACATTATATATATAATTTTAAAATTTTATTTTATACATAAAAATATTTACTTTGATATAATTTTAAAATATTTCTTATACTTTTTCATAGTTTTTATCTTTTAATATATTATTTCAAGTTTGAAACTTAGAATTATGAATGGGCCAATAAAGATTATAGTCCACAAATGTTGGTAATTATAATAAAGCTTAAATCAAAATCAATTAATACTAATGCAAAAAGAAAATCAATTCAACACTAAGAATGACAATAATATTGAATATTTGTTCTTTAGTTTTACATTGATTCAGACAATTAAAATACATAATCTAATTTTAATTTCCTTTAATATTTAGTCATGTAACTAATACTTATTAAACTTAATTTTAGCATGATTTAGTACTTTTAAATTATGATCATTTTCATTATGACTTGTTAATTTGCAATATTTGTTTTACGCGATTTCATTATTATTATTTTTGTTGGATATTTTTGTGTCATTAATCATATCATATTGTGTAATATTTTTAATAAACATCTTAGATGGTTGTATTTTGGTAGGACTAAAGAAATATTTGAAGTACAAGTAAATTATATGTTTGTATGAATACTTTACCGGAAAAACCCGAAAAACTGAAAAAACCCGAGGTTGAAAAACCCGAGTTTTATTGGTTTGGTTTGGTTTATAAATTTAAAAATCCAACACGAATAGTTTGGTTTGATATTTGAAAAACCCGAACCAACCCGGCAATGTACACCCCTAAATTACAAACTTATACTCAAAATAAATAGGAAAACTAGAGGTAGAACAAAGGACACAACATTATAGACATAGATGTGTGTGTGTGAATAGAGGATGGGCTTTGGAGACAATCTTAGAGAAGAAAGATTATCTTGAA